GATACATGGCATAAAGTGCTTTTGGAACAGAAGAGAGATAGAGCTTAGCAATGAAATGATCTTTTTTTTTCTGTAAATTTTTCCCCTAGATTGCTTACCTAACCCCAACATAATGTGAAAACACCTGAACACTCAATGTAGTTTAAATCTGTTAGCTGTTTGAAAACATGTGCTTTGTGAGATTAGAAGAATACCATTTTCTTCTTTTAAAAAAAGCTACTCTTTCATGAAAAATTTCCATATTATCACATAAAAGGATCCAGAAGTAATTCAATTTTAAAAACATTTGTTTTCTGCTAGAACTTTATTTCCTTCAGTTACATGATGTATATTGAGGTGAAACAAATACCTCAATTCTGATGAAAAGAATCCATTTGTATCTAAATATTTATTTTGCTATTAATAAATCTACAAATTCACACATGTTGGTCAATAATCCCATGGGACTAAATAACCAACATTTGAAGACCAATTATGACATCATTAGATTGTTTTTTTCTGTGTATATTTTTCTGTATATCTGTGGGTTTTTTTCTGAAGACTTTTCCCTCCCCACACTTATTTGGAAGATTGCTAAATATATATTTCAGATTATGTAAACTTTTTTCAGTTTAATTTTCACACTAAGATTTTTAATAGTCACAACTTATTTTTCTGCATGGTATAAGGTAAACACATAACATTATTCTATGATTTTTTTCTAATAGCATCAACACAACTTAAAGATAACACATATTAAAAACATTATATTCATAATAAATTTCTGTGTACTCAGTTTCTATAATCAAATTAGTGACCATATCAATCCCATTCTAATAAAATAGTATTTAATTATTTTTAGTATTATTTGGTTCATGAAAGATATTTTGTCACTCTTTTATCTAAAAATTTCTCAGTTATTCTTGCATATTTTCTTTTCCAAATAAGCTTTCTACATTCAATTAAACCATTTATGTTGGTATTTTAATTATCCTTGCATTTTACTTTTAGATTGATTTGGTAGTAATTACAACATTGGGTCTTTGTGTTTATGTTTGTCCAAGTAATTTTATAAACATCAATAACCTGAGAATTCATCAGATAAATATTATACATTCCTTTTTAGTTTTATTCTTTTTATTTCTTTTTATTTTCCTTTGTGAAAAGGACTGGGTTTCTATTATAGTATGTTAATAATATACTTAGCTGAAGTTTCTCAGAGGATTAAATGTAGTATATCTGGAAAACATTTTATAAATTATATGTTATACACTGTGTTAAACATGTTAGTTGCTATTTTTATTACTTGGAATTACTATTTTTATGTAATTTTATGTTTACCTTTTGTTGACTGTCTTACTGAATGTTTTTATGTATGCCAATAATGTAGATAATATAGTTAATGAAAAATAACATTTGTAGATCATTAACATTTATCTCCCCATTTTCATATGTGCTATTTTTTCTCCTCATTGTGTTGAATAGGACCACCAAATTCTGAGCTAAAATTAACAGACAAAATACTTTTATAAGGAATATAAGAGTAATAATTCTATAGGTATTTGTTATTTTCTGATATTTGGATTAAAAAATAACCTTAATCAAGTTAAGAAATCTGGATTACAAAGTATTTTATTTTTTAAAGATTTTATTTATTTGAGAGAGAGCACAAGCTTGTGAGTGAGAGGGTTGTGAGGGAAAGAGAAGCAAAGAAGAGAGGGGGAAGGACAAGTTGACTCCACACTGAGTGGGAGCCTGCCACAGAGCTCTATCTGTTAACCTTGAGATCATGACCTGAGCTCAAATCAAGAGTCGGATGCTTGGGGCTGCTGGGTTGCACAGTCTGTTAAGGGGCTAGCCCTTGTTTTCAGCTCACATCATGATCTCAGGGTTATGGGATTGAGCCTCATATCCATCCTTAATCCTCTTCCTCTCTCTTTGCTCCTCCCTGCCCCATGCTCGATTATTTTTTAAAAAAATCTTGAAAAAAAAAAGAGTCAGATCCTTAACTGACTGAGTCACTCAGGCACCTCTGTTTATTTTAAGTGGCTATTAAATTTCATGTAATGCTTTTGGACGCATGTTATTCATGCATTTTTTTTTCTCCTTTATCTTGGTAATGTACTGGAATATTCTACCAAATTTCCTGTTGTTTCATTGTCATTCTTAGAATAAATTCTACTAGCTCATGACACTTGGCTCTTAAAATAACATTTCTGGATTTGATTTGCTAGTATACTTAGGAACTAGGGTTTATATTAGTTAGCATTGTATTTTTTTTAAGAAAAGATTTATTTATTTATTTATTCGTGAGAGATCCAGAGAGAGAGAGAGGCAGAGACCTAGGCAGAGGGAGAAGCTCCCAGAGGGAGCCTGCTTCTCCCTCTGCCAATGCAGGACTCCATTCCAGGACCCCAGGATCATGACCTGAGCCAAAAGTAGAAACAACCACTAAGCCTCACTAGTACCCCTTAACCTTGTATTTCTTTGTTTTCTGTTTGTTTATGTACGCCATTCATGTCTGGTTTAGATTATGATAGACACAGAAAATGACATGGAAGTAGCCCATCTTTTCAAGGTTCTAGAATAGTATAATGGAACAAAATAGATATTCTTTCTCTTTGGAGATTTTTTTTTAAATCACTCCACTCTTGTGAATCTGAAACTTTTGGTGGAGAAATTCTGCATCTATTCTCACAGAAATTACAGGGAAATATTAGCTAAGAAGGGGTGGTTAACCTGACCTCAGAGAAATAAGTATTAAACAGATAAAATTATAGCATTAATGACCACCTGATATGTAGTTTCTTATTTTTTAATATTTAATGTCCATCTCCTACGAGCAGAACCTACTTTGTTCATTAATATGTCTCTAACACTGAAAATAGTGCCAGACCGATAGTAAACAATAAATTTTTGTTCATTCAATAAATGAATAAAGTAATAAAATAATTTTGTTTTGGTTGTGAGAGGATTCTAGATAGTAGAAGTAATATGTCTATCAGAATATAATATTTTAGCATCCTTTACCTGAGGCCAAAAAATATATAAAAATTCTGTTTTTTAGAAAAGTATGTACATAATTATGTTCTCTCCATTCAGGTTTATAGCTTCACTCTATTCCAACACTAGACTGCTTTTTTTACTATATTTATTTTTGGAATTCAGTGGAAGTGAGGAGGAGGAGGATATGGTGTAAGAACACAGGTATTTCGATAACCATCTATATATTATTTTCAATATCATGTATGCTATGAAGTTAAGCTTTTCCTTTCTATCAGTAGGTATACTAAACTTCCTAAAGACAGTGATCAGAACTTTTTTAAGAAGATAAAAATAGAATTTCTCCAAATACAGGGGAAAAGATTCGATTCCATATTATAGTAAATCAGCTGGTACACTTCCTTAATAGAAAAATAATTGCCTGTTACTTTTAATATAGGTGCATGGTTTAAAGAGAGAACATAGCTTATTTTTAATTTTTAAAATAATTTGTAATGAAAGGAAAAATTTGTTTCAGCTGTTACTTTGTTGATCTCATAAATTTGCCATACTTTCTCTTGCCTTTTTTTTTTCTCTTTGCAGTGTCTAATTCCTTTTTTTTTTTTTTGGAATAGACACATCTTCCTAACCCCTAATCACTCTTTCTTTCCTCTGTAGGGTTCTGCTCATGTTTTAAGCTTTACCTACTTTTTGAAGACCTTTCCATTCACTGCTTTGCTTTCCACAGCCTTTGGTTAGAGCCCTATTTTAGATATGTCATGTTTATTGCCATTCAAATTGTTTCAGTTTTCATTTTAGTAGACTATAGACTTATTAATGCAGAAGAATTCTTTATTTAATTGTTGATCTTGTATAAACTCAACACAGCTTCAATAAAAAGTGGCAGTTACTCAATGTTGGTTAAATACATGCATTTTTAAAAAGCATATTATACCTGTGATCAACCCAGCTTAGAAATGAAATTCCCTTAACCTGGGCATCAAAATCTAGTACACAAAGTTGAATTCTTGTATTTGTTGTTGTACTCTTTTCTCAACCTTCCAATATATGCTTTTACAAATGGGGAGAGAGAAAGGGAAAAAAATAATGTGGCGATTTGTATTAGGGGAAAATGGTTAACAGAAATATGAAAGACTCATCATTTTGCATATTAAATTTACATCTTTATGTCATAGCAGGAATGAATTATATCACAATACCCCTTCCAGGTATTATTCCTTTTTTGATTTTTTTCCTAATTATAAAGTGTTATAGAAGTGAACATGATAGATTTTTGTTTATTGTTCTTTAAGCAACATACAGCTGCTTGCTTTATTTTTTTTCTCAGAAACCTTACTGTTTTCTATTGGCATAAAATTTAAGAGAGAGAGAGAGACAGAGAGATTGCTTTTTAAGAAAGATATTGGAAGGGTAAAACCCTGTAGTGTCCATCCATATATTTCATTGAGAGCCTCCCAAGACTTGGAAACATGGGCTGGGTATTTATGTGCCCTGCTGTCAACCCTAAAGTAATACATATGAAAAGCCATCCTCCTCCTTCTCTCATTTCTATTCATGACCAAGTTTGCTTATTCCCTTTGTCTTTCACAGGAGAAGCCCAAGAAGCTGTAGGCTCAGGTATTAGGAGAAAAATCAAAACTGATCCAATCTTAAGTAGGTTTACAAGAATGTATATTCATTCTCTAAAAACTTTCTAAGAGAAATCATTTTTCTAGGTCCTAGAGAAAAGTAGATTCTGTGTACATAAAAATAGAGGCTTGGGGGCTAAGCTTTCTTAGCTTAGTTAAGAAATTCTGCAAAATTTCTGTGAAATTCTTAACTATTGACTTAAGAACTATTGACTTTATGTCTAAATAGTAACTGCAGTGTTTTTTTTTTAATGGAATATATTTAAAAAGACTCCAGGAAAACATTTATAAAGTTATTATTGGACGGTAAGAGTGTGGGGCGGAGTTGGCCTTAGAGAAATGATAGCAGCATTATTAAAAAGTAGTTTAAAAGCACATGCTGGGCTCAAGTCAGTATAGCTCCAGAAGACAGGAGCAGAAAGACAAGATGAATGATGTGAAGCTTGCTGTCTTGGGTGGTGAAGGAACAGGCAAATCTGGTGAGTTACGTTGTTGCCTATGGCATGGTTCAGAATGCAAAAAGAGTGAGAAATATATTGATCTCATAGATATAGGTATATAATGCTATTTTTCATTAAGACTTTTCATTTTTATGAGTAATAATGCAATTAACTGTATATTTATAGAATTTATAAACAGTTTGAGGAAGATAACTGAAGTATTAATTTATGCTTTTTAAAAATTCTTTGGAATAATAGTAAATTCCTCCTTCATTGTCCCAACTACACCTGCCCTCACATCCACTAGTGGCAAAACAATAGTCTTGAACTGATTCTTCTGCTCTGAGACTAAGGGCAGAGAAGAATTAATGGAGACCTCTGTATTTTTTTTTAAAGATTTTTATTTTATTTTATTATTTTATTTTATTTTATTTGAGAGAGAGCATGAGCAGGGGTAGGAGCAAAGGGAGAGGAAGGGGGACAAGTAGACTCTCCACTGAGTGTAGAGCCTGACACGGGGCTCAATCCCAGGACCCCAAGATCATGACCTGAAGTCAGACGCTTAATTGCCTGAGCCATCCATGTACGACTGTGGATTATTTTTTATTTTTATTTTATTAATTTTAATTTTTTTTGGTGGATTACGTTTTAAATGCAGTATTATTGAAGTGAGAAAACTTAGGACAGGCATGGCTTTATAGGTGCCTGGGGACTGAGCAACAGGTGCCCTGATTTTGAAAGCCATGGTTTTGTTTTATTTTACTGGAATTTATTTTTGGTTCCATTATGATGGTGGCCAGGATGCCACCAAAGAGCTACCTGAACTTCATGAACCATACAGCTGGCCAGACCCAGGAGCTGCAACTGACCATAGAGATCCTTTTTCTGGTTTCCTGGATTTTGAAGTCCCAATATCCTCACAAACAACTGTAAAAGCTTGATCTTGTCTTTGTCATTATTAGCACACAGCACCTTGGAACCAGATTTAATACAATAAAGAATATAAAGAGATGATATAGTTCTTGAGTTTCAAACCTAATGAGAGCTCTGTTTCTGTTAAATAAGGCAAGCTGCTTTACCTGTTTGCATTCATGAATTAATTACGTCGTGATTTGAATACACAGATCACTTTCTTTCTAGTCTTTTAATCTTTATGGTTGTACAGTGAAAATCTTGCTGATTATTATTTAGACTAGAATTTAATAAAGCTTTAAGGTCTGCATTAATGCTTGGTAATTTTTGAACTGAAAGATAAAACTTCATGTACATAGCTAAGTTATCTGTGTCGCAAAACAGAAGAGACCCTAAGTCCAGCATGTTTGTTTTGCAGCCCTTACAGTAAGGTTTCTTACCAAACGATTCATTGGAGAATATGCCTCTAATTTCGGTAAGTCACCACTCGAGACTTTTTCACCTTTAAAATGTCAGCATTTAAAAAAAATAAATAAAAATAAAAAAATAAAATGTCAGCATTTTAATTAAACTACAGTTAAGATCACTGAAGCATTTTGATAGAATTTTCCAATGTTGCACTTTTAAGCAACTTATTTATTCAGATTCTGGTTGGAAATGCCAAAATAGGTACTTGAATGTTCTTTTATGATAAAATTCACCCAACTTGATGTTAGGTAAGATGGATTAGAAAGTCAGTTTGTTTCAGGCTAAAATTAGAACATTAAAACTGAGATTCTCCTCCTGCCAATATTATAAAGCATGTATGAATATTTTTGTAAACTATAAAATGTTTCTGAAATTAAATAAACATCTGTTAAAAGATAAGGACAAATTAATTATAAAAGCACTAGAACGACAAAATAAAGCTTATGTTAATTGTAAAACTGTGTGAAAATAACGGGACAATTTTATAATTATAGATTATTAGATTGTAATTATCTAGGTTGCTTAACTAAGTTTCACAGAAATTCTAAAACAGGTGCCAGAGCACCTTAATATGATCTTAAAATCATTTTACTAACTCTGCTCTAAATTTATTTTGATCAGAATTAGCATAACATATGGGAAATACCACAGTGGGGCATTAATAAAAAGTGAAGAATTTTGGCAGAGTTTTGAGTATATTTTTGGCTCAGCAATTAATCAATATAATGGTACTAATATCTCAACTGATTTAAGGCATGGGGGAAAAGTCTTTTGCTCTTTGTTTTTTAAACAAGAACAATAGATGTCTAAAAAAACATATGAGAGTTAGAAGAAAGGGGAATGATTTTTTTTCAATAATTTCTACTTAGAGTAATAGGAAGTTATCATTGCCAGTGTGTTTTTCGATGAGAAATAACTCCCTTCACAAAAAAAAAATTAGCCTCCATTCATGAGGTAGCATTATTGGAGAATTTTAGGAAGTAACTTTAAAGTATTGCATTGTGTTGCTTTCTACATGTTTCTAATATACTATTTCAGTCCATATGACATAGTGAACATTTTAGAGTAAGTTCATGGAAACTGTTTAAAGAAAGAAGAAATACATAGAAAGAGAAATTCTTATTGCTTTATTTCTCAGGTCAAACACTTCAGCCAGAAAAGTCAATATAAAACAAAGTAGGAGCCAGGCAGGAGAAAATGTTTCAGAATAACAAAACATAACATAAAACCACACCCAAAAATAATAACAACAAATCCCCTTAATCTTTTATAAGAAGTAGTTTTATAAACAAATTAAGTGCACACAATTCTGGCTGGTACATATCCATTAAAAAAGAAGAGAGAGAGAGAAATTTTGAAAAGACAACCGAATGAACAAAAGGTCATCCTTGCATGAGAACAAACTAGCAAAAAAATGACTCCATTTTGTAAATGAAGATCAGAAAGGGAAAATAATAAAATTCTAAAAAGTTAAGAGTTAGTGACCCCTGCGGGCAGTTTTTGAGTTTTGAGTAGATATTTTTAAATGTCTAAAAGGAACTTTTATGATTCACAATCAGTGGTAAATCTATGAAGTTAGAAGGAACTGTCTGAAAATAGACTTTAAGGCTTAATGAAACTTGTTATAGTTTCATTAAATGTAACCTCAAAGGATTTTAAAATTCATCCCTAACCCTCTGAAGCTGGCTCCCAAAAAGCTTGCTACATGTCTTTAACTATGTGCTACATTGCTTGAATGGGGCATGATTTTTTGTCAGTGTGCCAGTTTGGAGAGAAGTAGGCCTTTTATTAAACCCTGAGGAAAAGTTACAGAAAGATAGGCCTTTATTCATTTAACAAATATTTATTGAGTACCTACAATGTCTCATGTACTCTTCTAGGTAAAAAAGCTATAGCAATGAATGAAAACAATGATTATCCAGGCCTCCATAAGATTTATATTCCAAAGGAACTGTCCATTAAAAAAAATAAGTATAAGTTATATCACATGATGATAGATGCTATGAAGAAAAAGAAAACATCATGGGGGAATGGCACTATTATACTATTTGACCACTTAAAATTGGATAATTAGGGTTGAACAGACACATGCTGGTGGTAAAAACTGAGCCATGAAAATATCTGGAGGATTACATTCCTCGCAGGAGGAATAATTACCGAAATTCTGAGGCAGGAAATTTCTGGAAGAGGTGAGGAATGGTATGGAGGATGGTGTAGTTTGAGTACAAATAATTTGAGGAAGAATAGCCAGAGAAGTCATGGAGGACTAGACAATGTGGGCCATTCTCAGGCATTTTAAAGGCTTTGATTTATTCAAGTGAGATGGGGAGCCACTGGAGAGATTTGATCAGACAAGTGATATGGATTTGGCTACAAAGTTCACTTTTGCTCCTGTGTTGAGAATAGAGTATGCACGATAAGGGAGTTAGGAGAGGGTAAAGCAGAGAGCTGAATTAGGAAGTTTGGTAATAATCTAAACAAAAATAATGATGTGTTAATAACGGAGAAGATAAGAAACAAACTCAAAATATACTTTAAAGAGAATGAAAAAGGAATTTTTAATAGGATAAATATGGGAGGTAAGAGAAAGACAGGATCAAGGATGACTAAAAGCTGTTAACCTGATCAACTTGAGTTATCAATATGTCACTTAATGAAATGGAAAATTGTGGAAGATAGTCTTTTCAGGGAAATTGGGGTTTCAGTTTTAAGTATGTTCAGGTTGAGATGTCTATTGGGTGTCCAAAGGGAGATGTACAATAGCAGTAGTTGTTTGCATCTGAAGTTCAAGGAAGGGGTCTAGACTACAGGTATAAATTGGGTCCATCAACGCTAATTGTTTTATAAAACTCTGGATGAGATTAAAAAGGGAGTATAGATAGAGAAGAGATCCATAAACTGGACCTATGTTTGAAGTGTGAGAATACATGATGGGAAAAATAAAAAAAAGATTAATACTGAACAACAAGGAATAAAGAAAAAATCATGGGAGTATGTTGCCTTGAAAGCCGTGGGAAGGAAACATTTTAAGGAGGCAGGAGTGATTGATTATAGTAATGCTACTGAGGTGAGTAAGATCAAGATATAGAATTAGTCAGTGAATCTAAAATTGTAACCTTGATAAGAACAGTTATTTGAGCTAAAGCTTGATTGGAATAACTCAAAGAACTTGGGGGAGAAAAATTGGACACAGGGGTTGTAGATACAAAAAGACCAGCAGAGAAATAGGGCAATTACTGTAGAGGTTGAGGGGATCTAAAGGATTGTTAAGTTTGGAGAAATTCAGCTATTAGTAATGATATAGTGAAGAGGAACAACTTATGATTCAGAAGAGAGAGGTAGAATTGATGGGGTAATGTCTTTATGTACATCAGTAGTAAAGGGCAACCAGTTCATAATGAATAGATTGGCCTTAGAAAGAAACATAGATACCTTATCCATAGTTATAGGACAGAAGATATGTATATAAGCACAATAGCATGTAGTTGAATAGATATGGTGATAAAGTTTATTTGTAAGAAACATATGAGCAAATATAACAAATACATGTATTTAACCACTAATAATTTTAAAAAGCCACTGTAGTATTCTCCTAGAAGATGACTAGTTGAATTTGCGAGACTGTGATCCAAATATATGCTAATTTTTTAAGAAAAATTCTGGAGTATTTCCATATCGACAATGAATATATACATTTTTAAATTTTTATTTATTTATTTATTTATTTATTTGTTTATTTATTTATTTATTTATTTATTTTTTGCAGAATCTATCTATAGTAAGCATTTGTATTTGGAAGGGAAGCAACTGAATCTAGAAATATATGACCCCTGTTCTCAAGTAAGTAAAACAGATATAATTTTATTTTTTCAGTCATGATTTGAAGAAGATTGGGTAAGAGTAAATGTAAATAAAGTTGCCAGTCTTAAATCTTTTTTTTTTTAAATTTTATTTTATGATAGTCACAGAGAGAGAGAGAGGCAGAGACACAGGCAGAGGGAGAAGCAGGCTCCATGCACCGGGAGCCCAATGTGGGATTCGATCCCGGGTCTCCAGGATCGCGCCCTGGGCCAAAGGCAGGCGCCAAACCGCTGCGCCACCCAGGGATCCCTAAAGTTGCCAGTCTTAAAACCGAAATTTATTTCCAATTCTAATTAAAATTTAAAATTTAAGATTATTTTATTTTTTTTTTATAAATTTTTTTTTTAATGTATGATAGTCACAGAGAGAGAGAGGCAGAGACACAGGCAGAGGGAGAAGCAGGCTCCATGCACCGGGAGCCCGACGTGGGATTCGATCCCGGGTCTCCAGGATCACGCCCTGGGCCAAAGGCAGGCGCCAAACCGCTGCGCCACCCAGGGATCCCAAGATTATTTTTAATATTATAAATTCCATTATCTAGCTTTTCCATAGAGTTTTGACAAAAATGTTATAGTACAAATATCTTTGAAATAGCAATATTAGGCTCATTTATATTTCTAGGAGGTCGCAGTATATAGCTATTAGAAGTTAATAGTTTAATGGCTTTTCAGTTGAGTTTATATTTTCATCAAGTTGAATTTGTAACCATCCACTGTCAATAAACCATGAGTAAGGTAGATTTTTGTACAAATTCCTTTGTCTATTCAAACACAAATAAGTTAAAATAAATTATTTTTTATTTTTTTTAGTGAAAAGTGAGATAGATAAAAATTTATTATACTTCCTCTGTATTTTAAAAATTTAATCACTTTTAATTAAAGAAAGAGTGACAAGGAAGAGAACCAAGGAAACTACCTTTGAGAAAATATCAGTCTTCAGCTTATTAAAGTCTCTTTTAGTGACACCTGGGTGACTCAGCGGTTGAGCACCTGCTTTTGGCTCAAGTCATGATCCCTGGTACCTGGGATCAAGTCCCGCATCGGGTTCCCTGCTTGGAGCCTGCTTCTCCCACTGCCTATGTCTCTGCCTCTCTCTCTGTGTCTCTCATAAACAAACAAACAAATACATCTTTTTAAGAAGTTTCTTTTAGGTGAAATGGGTTTCCATTAATTAATTGTCTAAAGTATAAAATACACATGGAATAGTTCACCAATTTCAATTTGCTTGATTCATTTTCAGCCACAGAAAGCAAAATTTTCCCTCACAAGTGAGCTGCATTGGGCAGATGGGTTTGTTATTGTGTATGACATCAGTGACAGGTCCTCATTTGCTTTTGCAAAAGCACTGATCTACAGAATTCGAGAGCCTCAAACTAGTCATTGTAAAAGGTAAGATATTCTTCATTCCTCTCTCCGTTCTTTTTAGTAAATCATCATATAGCTATAAGCATCATTAGGAAGAGTTTAATACAGCCTTCCAATTACAAAATTTAACAGCCCTGAACAATTCACCTTCCATTCCACAGGAGTTACACATGTAGTAAAAGGAATAAGATGAGAATACTTTATATCCTGGCTGACATAAACAGTTACTTGCTCTGAGTAAATGGCTATTTTACAAGACAGCTTCTATTGTTAACATGACACTCACTTGCAAAATAATGGTCCTCTGTACACAAGACAGTTCACTTTCCAACCTTTCCTTTTCATTCCCACAAAAATGTTAAGGATACTAAATAAATCCAAATTTATTACAGTTGGCATCCAATTCCTAGTCATTGGGTTGTTCAATCTATCAAAGCAAAATAGACTGAATAATCAAGCCATTACAAATTCTGAGTAGGAGAATACATTTTTCTCTGTTTCACCTCCAAAAATAAGGAGCTGATCAATGATTTCCCATTGTTAATGGTTTTGACACAAGTAACTATGAAGGAAGACATAACTGTGCCTTAAACCATTCTTGCATTAGTAGATATAAGTTTAACCCTATCAATTTCCCGCTTAATTTTCTTATTTTTTGCTTTAGCCTTTCGGATTTAAAATATGTATTTTTATTCAACATGCTGATATAAAGGATTCTTTGTGCTCTTGATCAGAGTTGCCCTTAGAGTCTGAAATAACATTCTAATATGGGAAGCACAAACACAATGCTAGTACTGAAAATTTGTATATGTGTTTTTATATCTATTTTAAATATTAATTATCAAGAAACTATGAGATGATAATTGATAAAGGGTATTTCCCTGGAGTCAATTGATGTAAATTCTTGTTTATATCTGATTGACTTTAGGTAAACCACTTTAATCTCTAGACCTAATTTTTCTGATTATAAAACTATTGGAAACATGGTAGGGGAAAAGGATGTGATTTTGCTAAGGTACCTCACAGCTCTGATTTCCTCTAATATTACAGGTTTTGTTTTTTGTTTTGTTTTTTTTTTTTTCTGAAATAAATTGTTTTAAGCATTAAATGGCCTCATATTTAAGCAGCATGACTTAGGTAAGAGATAGTAATAAAATTCCTTTGCTATTCCTCCAAATCAAAAGAATCCCTTACGAATATTGAAAAACCTAAAAATAAAAACACCTATATTTGACATTTTTCAGGCAATTTTCTTGAAATACTACATAATTTTTAGAGCATTTCCAGTTCTCAATCTGTAGATAGACTCGAGTAGCAAAAATATATGCCTGTTTTATAAAGTTGCATCTGATATCTGTGACTCATACTTCAAAATATTTCACTTCATCTTCCCCATTAATAATAATTTTATAAACTATATAGAAAAAGATATTAATACCCTCAAAGTCTAACACATACAGTGCTTTTTTCCCTCACCACTCACACCATCTTGGAAATGAAACCAACTTTGAACAGAATCTAAAGACAACATCTCTTCAGATTGAGTTGAAGACTGCATTTATCCATTTTTCCTCTAAAGTAGATAACTTGTCAGAGTTCCGTGGCATTTGAGGACGAGTTGTCTTATGACAGCCTTCAAATGAAACTCTGTTTTAGAAATGTGCCACTATAACCAAGGAGAATATATTGATATTTGCTAAAGAAATTATCTTAACAAAGAAGCATATTTCTTAAATACATAGAAAAATTGTACAAGGTCATGAGATCATAACATTTTTCTCTAGAGTATAGTATAATGGATATTAACAAAGAACAAACAGCAGTGAGTATTGAATAATATTTTCCTTGGGAAAATTATATCTAAATTGTTCAAGTACAGTTACTGTTCAGTAAAGAGACATTAGTTAGTCCTTCTCTTTCAACTGGTAAGGAAATGAAAAATAATATTTGGTAAGCATCTTTTGTTGCCTGTCACTGTACTAGATATTTTTATATATATCATTTAGTTTAATCTCTATAAGAATTCTATGTAATGACTGCTATTTTATTATTGTTTTACACACAGGAAAACTGAAAGTGGGAAAAGTAACAATCATGCCTTATTAGTAAACAGAGCCAGAATTCAAAAATAGGTTTATATTAATGCAGATCCTCTGCTTTAAGATTCTTGCTGCTACAGTGTCACACATTACATTCTATATAAAATAGTTTTTGTAAGTAAATGGGGATGTGTCATGCACATACATATGACTATAAGGAACACATACATTCACAGTACTTTTTTGGGGGGAGGTCATAATTCATTTTGATATAAACCTGCTTAATGAGAAAAAAAAAAAGAGATGTAAAATAATCATTCCAGAGTTCTGTTCTGTATTTCAGAGCTGTGGAATCAGCAGTGCTTTTGGTTGGTAACAAGCAAGATCTCTGTCACATACGAGAGGTTGGCTGGGAAGAAGGGCAAAAACTGGCATTGGATAACCGATGCCAGTTCTGTGAATTGTCTGCAGCAGAGCAATCTCTGGAGGTGGAAATGATGTTTATCAGAATTATCAAGGACATCCTGACAAACTTCAAACTCAAAGAAAAGAGAAGACCCAGTGGATCTAAATCAATGGCTAAATTGATCAATAATGTTTTTGGAAAGAGACGAAAATCTGTTTAGCAGACATGTAATCCTAGGGGATTTATTGTATTAGTCAGTTTCGGATATTTACATGATATTAAATTTACCCTTTGTATGCAATTAAAAAAATAATTCTTTTAGAGATATGAAATGACTGAATAAAAGCCACAGCTGTGTTTTCAAATATATAGTTTTCCTTTTTGGTTGTTTGTATCTTTGTATCTTGTATTGTGACAAGATACAAACAACCAAAACTATATATTAAACCTTTTTCTTTATTACATGGAATAGCACTCACTATAATTTATTGATGCATTGCTATGCAGTTAGCCTTGCCGAATAAACTCTGCTTAATAATTTTATTAAGCTACCATCCCATAGACCTCAAGTGACCTTTATTTTATTTATTTCTTTTGAATGAAATATGTAGTTATATTTCACATAGTTAATATAGTGCTGAATTTATAAATTTGTGAAAGTTCACAATTTAGTAGAAATGCATGAATTTAATTTTGAAAGTGCCTTTCCAGTAATTCAGTGAGTTCTTGCTTACATCTTGGTATTATTTATTACTCATACTACTTATTTTACTTATAATTTTAGCCGTAAGAAGTTAAGTTCCTTGCCTGTAAGTGCCATTTTTTATTTGGTCTGATGATGAAAAATTCTGCCTCTGCTTGTAGTCTTTGCTAAGAAGGGTAATCCTCACAAATTCACTTACATGGCTCTTTATACAAAAAAGATCAGTTGTTTTTAGTGCATAGAGAGATCCATACATGCCAGGGAAAGAAAAAGAAAAAGTAAAAGCTGGTTGCTGAGTATATATAACCTTGAAGACCTTATTGTCCTTAAAGAAATATTGTATTAGACAAACATTTGGGGCCTTCCCAGATTTCTTTGAGGACAATTTCCTTCAAAAATCAGCTGTTTACCCTCTGGACCTAAGTACCACTGCTGCTGACCTCATTGCATTTCAAGTCACGGTCTAGACCTAACCTCAGCCGAATCACTGATAACTAAGTTTAGGTCTCCAGGAAGTTAAACTGAGAGTACAAGCAATGCTACAGGTGCTGGTTAACATGCATTGGCAAGAACCTGGGGGCCAAGGTGGAAGAAGAGCTTGAGTGGAGTGTGGTAGGCAAATGGGGGGACAGGTGACACAGAACATGAGCCTGCAAAAGGGAGAATTCATTGACATGGTGTTCCTCACCATGAGTCATGATTCCACATTATAGGAGCCACACCTAGAGCTCATCCATGTAGCTTTGCTGTTCCCTGGAAGCTGGCCTTGATACACTACAGTAAAAGAAGTGGAAATAATAACACACTGTATGATAGAATATAAAGGAGCTCAGAACAGTCATAAAGATAGGGGAGTTAGAACTGATATGGCAGGTTGGCCCAAAAACCCACTGTCTGACTGTGTTGCTTGGAACTATTCAGAGGAATTTCCTCTGCTGAGGAGGGGAGGAGGCATAGACAACTTGAGAGCTAACTGTGACTGTGCTGTATAGGTCAGAATTGGCAGTAGGGATGTTGCCATGAAACTGTGCTTCTCACTATCAGCCCAGTGATAGAATCCTGGAAGAGCAGAATCTGGATGCCAGCATTTAACTTGTTTCCTGTTATCCACCCACTCAGCCCCCAAAGAAGTGCTGCTATATCTGGAGCAGAGGCTCCTTTCCTAATCCTGGCTGATTGGAAGTGACATACTTAATCAGCTAGATGGAGACAGAGTCCATATAAGCCCATGCATTGCTTCCATCCATGCCACTGTGACCACGTTATCCTGGATCCATTTTGTAAGCACAAAGATGGCCAAGAAAAGGCGCAAGTCGATATCTGCAGGACAGATCATCCTGTCCATCTGGTTGTATAGCGACTTTTCCTTGGTGGATGCACTCTGATGGGCAGTGACATGATACACAAAGATATGTATATTTTATGCCCTCTCTAAGAGATCCATTCATACATTTTTTTTCTCTAGTCTTCCTTGTCACTGTCTTCCAGTTTTACTTTATACTGGTCTCTGACCAACTGGCAAAACCACTGATTGCTTCCTAGAAATCTGTACCATGTGCCACCTTTCCTAACATACAAAGGGTAGATCACCAAGTATACATCTTGAAGCTCTGGCAAATGGGATAATTTGCTAATGAAGTTCATGGTAGCCTCCATGTAATAAGGCCCAGTCCTCTTATGACTGGGACTAATATCACAAGTTTAGGAAAGCTTTCTGTCAACTAGGGACATTCAGGTTAGATTGCTAAGTAAATGGGAAATAAACTCTTATTGTGTGATGTTATGTTAGAAAATTCAGTGATATAATATTTTTAGTCAACTATTTACAATGATTAAAAAATAATAAAAAACTATTTACAAGGATTTTATTAATCTTTTATAGTCTCAATATTCAATGACATTATATGTATATGTTTATATGTAAATACATACCAGTTTAATCATTATACCTTAATTTTTTTCCCTCATTCTCTTGGATAATCTCAGTTTTAGAGATTTAGTCTTCATTCTTTAGAATTATTTTCCTACTTTAAGAAAGATTCTTTTGGAATGATTTTGTATGAAAAACAACATATTGACTCATGTTATACGCAAGAACTCTTAATGTCAAAATGGTAGGAAACTTTTTTAATAGCTTAATCCAAGCATATGTGTCTGTGATGTTTCAGAGTTCAAAATTCCTGTTAAGGATACTAATGCTCATATATATTTTTAAATTTTATTTATTGTACCTTGATTTTTTTTTGTCAGGATGATTTGGGATAATGCACCTCATTATAAGGAATCAGTGGAACATGGCAATGCAAACAAACATTCTTGTACAGACAAACACACAAAAGATAACTATGTGAGGTGATAGATGTGTTAATTGGTTGCAGTTTGATTGTGGTAATCATTTTACAATATATATGTATATTAACCCATCATATTGCAATTTTGTTTTTCAATTTACCTCAACCTGGAAAAAAACAGTTTTACATTAAAAAAATTTACATTTTAAGTGCAGTGTCTGTGAAGCAACTTTAGAAATGCACACCTGATTATTTCCAGAGTGATATTTAAAACTACTGGATTAATTTCCTTTTTTATGATGTGACAGTTTTAAAACATGTTCACACATTTTTGACACTTCTTCCATCAAAAGGTTAAATCTAATTCCCCTCCCCATGATTGTGAATTGCCCTTATTGACTCTCTTTTAAAAAACGGAATAAGGTGGAAGTAATAGATAGGACTTAGGAGACCAGGTTGGGAAAGGTGCTAGAGCTCCCATCTGTTCCTATGTTATCTGTTCTCAAATGTCCCATGTGTGCCTCCCTGGGAATCAGTTTTGGGAGCCATGAGTCAACATGTATGAATCTGGCTTCCCTGAAAGCACCTGACTAGAGACCCAATGTGTCAGCAAATCTTAAGGTGATTCTAGTTTCTAACCTTGGACTAGCTGATGCTTAATAGAGCAGAGATGAGTTAGCCCAGAGAATCTTGCCCCAGTTGCAGATTTGTGAGGATAATTACCATTGTTGCTGTTTGGGTGTTGTTAAACCATTGTCTTGGGGTTGTTATGTGATAATAGATAATTAGAGTAGGTAATTTATTAAAACTTTTGGCAATTCAGACAATACAAAATATTTGGCTTTCTTACTGGGGAAAAATGGTGAAAAAAAGGATTCTTCCAACTAGCTTCAAAATAGTCCAGACCTGAAGTTGTCCCAACTATAATTTTCTTGTGACTATAATTCACATGTTTTCTTGTGACTATAATTCTTGTGACTATAATTCACATGTAAAAAAACTTGCAAAAACCTAAAAAATAATAAATTACAGTTTTCCAAAGTGAGAAAACTACATCTGCTTACAGAGAAACAAATACATCAACATTAAACCATAGAATATTGTAGGTGGAAGATAGCAAGTGTGTCTATAAATCTCTGAGAGAGTTAAGCTGTATCACTAGGCTGGGAATTGCCTATGCTGCTTCTAGTAAAAAAGATGCTGTCATTCACTTTGGATGAGCTTCAATGAGATAACACAGAATGAGGGGCAACAGCCCAGGAAGGGAATGCCAAAAGGGAGGGGCCTTTAAAATGGCTTTGATTTAATACAAGGTATGCACTATTAATAAAGAGGTTGAATGATACCTGTATGTTTTATAGGTTTATAAATTGGCTGTAGTAAAATATTTTACATCTTAGATCACTAGGTATTGTTTCAGCTTATTATGGGAGATATCTATCTAGAGTTGACTGAATTGTATTAATCTGAACCTAGTTTAATGATGCCTTAACATTTTTATGGGGGATTTAATGTTTGCAATATCCATGTTCCTTATTTGAAAGCGTGACTTATAGGTTTCTCATCTTCCTTAAATTATGAAATCCTTCAGCTAATAAAGGAAAATGATTATAGTTTGCAAAAAAGGCAAAGTCATTTAATAATCCATATAACTGTCTATTGTAGGACTTTGCATAATAATTGTAATTTAGCTATTAGGGATTCTAAAGGCAGTTATCAGTCATACTCTACAATTCTGGGGGAATCAGGCAAAGCCCAAATTATTTAAAGTATTTTAAATTCCCAAGGAAAAAAAAAAGACACACTATAAATTGGAAATATACTTTATAATGACAATATATTATTTCAAAGCAAAGAAAGTCATCATAATTTTCAAATGTATAAACTACCAAACAAATTGTTTTTCTTTCTTTTGGATACAAATACAATTTAAGTTTACTTTTTAATAATGGAAATAAATGTAAGTTCCTTTAAGGAGGGAATTAGCAGACGATGAAGTACTAGTTGCAATGTGGAATTTCACCAACATTTAGTAATCCTGGAACCACTAAGACAAAAATAATTAAGAAAGAAACAAAAACAAAAAATAAAAACCAGAACACCAAAGACGAGTAAAAGATGAAATTACTTGCCATTTATGGAAGCATGACCATGAGTTACCACTGTAGTATCCAGACCATTAAGATGACTACTTAATAACTAGACACTTGGAAACATTCAAACATATATTAGACTGGTATTTTTCCAGATATAGATTTACTTTAAAGGTAATAAATTAACCAGTTTTGCATAATTTGGGAATAGTTCTATAGACAAACACATCTGTGGGTTAAAATTCTTGGGTTCGGTGGAAGTAGAATGTGTAAGTCATTCAAATGACAATTATTTTAAAAATAACCAGTTGGTTGACTTTCATCAGAAAGTTTTAAGGCCTAGACTAAAAGAAGTCCATATTTTACTTATATAACATTCTCCACAAAAAGAGAGGTTTTGAGCAAAACCTGCTAAGAAGGAGTTTAAAAATTATGGGATTTGATCATTCTAAATTATTTATTATTTTTAATAACATCTTTTTAAAGTTTAACATATTTGTAGAGTAAGACTAACACAATGTGTGGTTGT